TTAGCGCGGCCCTAGCAGCACCCACCCTCCTTGGAGGAGTTGCGGTTTCCTCCCCGGGCGTCTAACTTCACGCTTTCTGCCCTTCCCGCGTTCTTTCCACCCGACGCCGCCGCCTTCCCGTTGCGATCTTTCATGTCCAAAAAGATGTCCTTGGTGATCTGCTGAAACGCGTACTGCACATTCTCCTTTTCCTTCGCGCTTGTCTCGATGTACGAGATGCCGTGCTGCTGCGCCCAGGCAGTGGCCTCCTCCTTTGAAACCTGTCGCGCACTGCGGGCCTCGTCACTTTTGCACCCAATCAGCAGACACGGTATCCCCGGGAGAGCCTGCTGCCGCACACGCTCCATCCATTGGTCTAAATGGAGGAACGAGGGGCGGTGGGTGAGGTCAAAGCAAAGCATCACACCGTTTGCGCCGCGGTAGAAGGCGGTGGCAACCGACTGGAAGCGCTCCTGCCCTGCGGTGTCCCAGATCTGAAGGCGCACACGCTTGTCCATGTAATTCATCTGATGCATGCGAAAGTCAATGGCGATGGTTGAGGCGTAGTCCTTGTAAAAGACGTCCTCCGAGAGGCGCACTGTCAGGGAGGACTTCCCCACGCCGCTATCCCCAATGACAATGATCTTGAATATGTAGTCGCAGTCCCCTCCGGGGGCCGTGTGAGCGGCCATGGCGTTGCTTGCCTTATTTGTCTTGTTCTTGATTTCGTTCCCTTGACGTTCCCTTTGTCTTTTTTTCTTTTCTCTTTTCCCTAGCTGGTCGTCCTCTTTTGCTTCTCCTTCCGCTGTCTTCCTTTGCTCCACGTGTGCGCAAGCAAGCGGCAGCGGCGGAGGGGTTGGGCCAAGAAGAACACACGCGCGGAATATAACTTGCTGTGAATGCGGAGTGCGCCTGGCAGCTCTGCGGGGGCGAGACCGCGCGGCACGGAGGGCAGGAGGAGAAGAGGCAATGGCGCGAAAGAGAGCGGTGGGCAAAACTCGCAGACAACTGCCACGGCAGACGGGCGCAGGGAGTCGTGGAAGCAGGGGGAACCCGGCAATCCCGCACAGACACACCTCCACGCAGGAGCCGAGGAGGGAGGGGGGCGACTGATCGGCAGAGGGCCGCACCCGCAGTGCGAGGGGACGGGCGGCACGCAGCGAGAGAGAGAGAGAGAGAGAGAGGAGGCCTTCTCCCTCCTACACTCCCAAAGAAAAAAAACACGCACACGCACACGCACACGCACACGCACACACACACACACACACACACACGACGGAGGGAACAAAAAAAAGCGTAGTTTGGTGCAGTGCACCCAACATCCCCCGCAGCTCAGAGAAGCCTCATCCCGCACTCTCATCGCGACAAACACAGAAGCGAATGCATGCATCAAGCGCATGCGATGATTACCGGGGCCCTTGTCCTCAGATGACGCGGTGCCAGTCTCTGGGGTCCCCCGCAACCCCCGCACCCTTCCACGTGGTGGGGGTGCTGGTACTGGTTGCAAGGGATTGAGATGGGAGGACAGGCAAAACAAAGGCAAAAAGAAACAAGAAAAGAACAATTAATCCTTTCACATAGAAGCCGGGGGGAATTCAGAAAGAGACGCGATATGCATCTTGCTTGTCTCCCTGCCCGGTCGCACTCCACTTCCAGACGCTTCTACAGGGGGGAGGGGGGAGAAACAATCAAATACACGCAAATGACTTGAATCACATGAATGCATACAAACATCGAAAGAAAAAAAAGCCGAGAGAAAAGGAAGGAGCTTCAGTAGCGAAGACTGTTCCCTTTTTTTTATTCGTTTTCTTTCATTTTTTGCTCCCACTGTTTCTTCGGCTGGTGCTATTTCCTTCGTCGTTCTCTCCTCTTCCCCTCTTCGCCGTTTCGGCGGCGCTAAAAGGAACTACAGCAGCCTTTTTTAGGTTCGGCGCCGCGGTGGATTGGCCGTCCATCGCGTCCGTTGATGCCGCTGCGGCCTCCATCCACCGCCGGCGTCGTGTTCTGCGCCACGTACGTCGCTAGCTGCTGAAACGCCTCGGAGACGTTTGTGTTTTCCTTCGCGCTCGTTTCCAGGTAGCAGAGGCAGCCGCGGCTGCGCGCCCACGCGTCGGCCTCGCTCTTCTCAACCTGGCGTTGGCTCCCTAACGAGATGCCGCCGTCGTACGCGTCGGCTTTGTGAACAAGGTCCAGCTTGCACCCGACCAGGATGACGGGCGGCATCTTGGGACAGTTGGCCTCCAGGCGCTCGTACCACGCGTCGAGGTCCTCGAAGGAGACGCGGCTGGTGATGTCGAAGCAAAGCATGACGCCGTTGCAGTTCCGGTAAAACGCCGTGGTGAGGGTGACAAAGCGGTCCTGGCCGGAGGTGTCCCAAATCTGCAGCCGCACCGTGCGGGGCTTTTTCTCTAGTGTTGTGCTATGGCAGTACTTGAAGTCCATGCCGATGGTTGGAACAATGTCCTCATAGAATGTCCCGTCGCAGTAGCGCGACGACACGTTGCTCTTCCCCACGCCTACATCGCCAATCACTATGATCTTGTACGCGAGATCCTCTGACATGTGAAGCACACCGACGCGGCGGAAGATTTGCTATTGAATTTCTTTGTGTCTCCCCTCGCGTGGTGGGGTTGCCTGCTGGTTCCCTCTTGCCTCTTTGCCTACAGGCTTCGCCGCAACCACAAGAAAAAAAAACAAAACAACAAAAACTGGAGGCAGAGAGTGGAGCGTGAGAGGAGAGTGGGCAAACGCACACACACACACACACACACACATAGACAGACACACGCAACAAGGCAAGATGCCCCTGCACGTCGCAGTGCATGCTGAACGCACACTTTCACAAGAGGCGGCGTGGACGCCTCAGGCGGTTGGCGGTTGGCGGCGGCGCCTGTCATCTGTACCACGTCGGGTGCAGCTCCTCCAGCCGCTCCCGCAGGCACCGCACCTTTGGCGCCTTGTACGGCGGCTCCCGGACGACCAGCATGACGTTGTACACCGCCGCCGCCAGGAGCGCAAGCAGCAGCAGAATCATCGCCCCAACACGGATGGGGAAGAAGTGATCCACCACAACCGCATTCACCGAAAACTGCCGCTCTCTGCTGTACGGCGTCGCGGGCAACACGGAAGGCGGGTGCTCGCGCGGGGCGGAGATAATGCACCCGTACACGAGAAACGGCAGCGCAAGGCAGGCAACGCCGATGGGCAGCGCCCAGCGAGGCTGCAAGTAGGCCCCCACGGACGCGACGATAATTCCAAAAACAGTCACGAACAGAATGGCGAAGGTGCCGTCGCCGACACCAAGAATCATCTCTGCTTCTTCCGCTTGCCTCCCCAGCGCAGGGCCATCCAAGCGTGCACGCTGCTGCGCACGTCAAAAGAGGGGAGAGAAAGGAAGCCATGAAACAAAACACGCAAAGCAAACGAGGGCAGTGAAACAATAGCGATAATTAACAGACCGCCGTACAACAGGCCAGGCGGGCAAGCGGCTCAAAAAAAAAAAGGAATTCAATGACGTGTTATCGTTGGTGATGGTAAAACAAAAAAAAACAGAAACAAAAAAAATAGAGATATACATTCAGTGAAAGGGAGCATACGCACATACATACATGCATCAACGCGAAATAGGAAAATCAACAAACAAAAAAGACGACGTTACAACACATCGACACATACAAAGATCAATGTGCCCACCTCACATGACAAGCAGCTACCTGAACTGGTGGCGCAGCAAGACATTTCTATTGTGAGGAGCAAACATTGCAACTATTACTTTGACGTTTTCCTTTTCTTGTTCTTTTTCTTGTTTTTGTTCTTTGTCTTTTGTTTCTTTTGCCTTTGCTTTTTTTTTGCTTGGATTCCTGTTGCTGTTTGAATGTGATTACGGTTGTGGGGGGTCGTGTGTGCGCCCGCAGGCACAGTCTACATACAGAGATCCCAGTGCTTGAAGTAGTCTTCGTCCACGGCGTTCGTGTAAAGCTCATCTAATTGTTTCCGACGAATGTCGGCCGCCTCCTTCTGCTTTAGCTGCTCATTGGCGAGTTCCTCACGCTCGGCGCGGCGCTCACGCTCGCGCTGGCGCTCCAAGGCGTTCGCCATGCGCAGCTGCAGGTTCTCCTGCTGCCCCCAGTGCTTCTCCTCCTCCACCTCAAGCAGCCGCCGACGCTGCATGGCCTCTCGCTGCGCCGCCTGGTCTCGGTACAACTTTTCCTTCTCCTCCGCCGTCATTCCCTTGTAGCGCTCCGCCTTGACCTTTTTGCCGAGCTCACTCACCATGGTTTCGGTTTCGTTGAGGAAGTCGCCCTCTAGGTGGTAGCGAATCTCCTCCATCCCCTTGCGCGTGTCTTCCTCCTTGTCACGGATGGCCTCGCGACGCTTCTGCTCCGCCAGCGCCCTGTTAAAGTCGGACTGATTCTGCCGGGCGAGGCGGCGTTGCTCCGCAATGTTTTGCTCCACGTCGTATATGCGGCGGTTGACCTCCTCGTTGCGCTCGTCAAAGGCGTTGTTTGCCTCCTGCTCCATCCATTTCTTGGCGAGCTTCTCCTCTACCTGCTGCTGCGCCCAGTTCCGCTGCTGATGCTGCTGCTCCCGGCGCCGGTTCTTGAAGTCCAGGTCCTCGCCCTCAAACTTCTGCAGCGAGGAGACCCCGTTGCGGGGGTCATCGTCGCCGACACGCGCGGGCAAATCCTTCGCCTTCCACTTGGGGTCGTTGAGGTCCCACTCCCGTCGCATCTGCTTCTTCTGGTATGTCTCACGGTAGTCCTGCATGTCCTTTTCACGCCCAGTGCGAATCTCATTCACCTCCTTCTGCAGCGCCTGCGCGTGGCGGTCCATCAGCAATGCCTGGCGGTCGAAAAACTCATTTCGCTCCTGCTCAAGGCGCCGAAGGGCTTCCTTCTCACGCACCTGGTCGTCCAGGGCCTGCTTGTCGATTCCCATCTGCCGCTGCTTTGGGTCCCGCAGCCGCTCCGCCCGCTGCATCATAAAGAGCCGCTTCTTCGTTGTGGTGTCGAGAGGCCTCGCTGAGGACATCGTCGCGGTGAGGGCCACAGCGGGGGTATCCGGCGCCACAGAACTCATCTTTGCCTGCTTTCCTTTTTTTCCCCACCTTCTTTTCTTTTTGCCACGATAGAAAGACGGACAATGCAGGCGCTAGCGAAGCAGAAAGTAGAAGAAGCAAAGAGGGAACAACATTGACAACAACAACAAGGCGAAAGACTACGCATAAAATGTCGATAACGTTATCCCTGCACATTGGCGAGGCTAACAATGTGTCCGCCTGCGGGTTTCGCGCGTTTCCTCGCCGCTTTGGTATGCGTATGGAAATGAGAGAGGCGTGAGTAGATGCGGGCACAGCCTCCTTCGTTTGCCGCGCGGTAGACTTCTGCCTACGCAATGGGTTTAAATGTGAGTAGCGGTGATGGGGCGGAGCACTTGAAGCAGTACTTCCTCACGTTCCTGTTGACGCCCTTGCACTTGGGGCAGGTCCACAGCGTCACCTCCTTCCCCGGCAGCGGCGGGGGCGCTGGCTTGGGCTGCTGACACTTGTGGCACACAACACTCCCCCTAAAATTCATCTGGCCGCAGGGACAGGCCCAGTCCTGCGGGTCCTCTCCAGGCAGCGACGGTCGCCGAACACCGGGCGGAAGCGGCGGGGCGGGGGCGCCGCACTTGAAACACTCGCGCTTCGACTTGTAATTCAGTTCGCCGCACTGACACAACCAGTCGCCCTCGGCGGGCTCGCGATGCCGGGAGCGTCGGCCCTGGATGCGCCTCCCGAGGCAGCGCGGGGTGGGCGACGCCATGTACGCGCGGACGCCGCCGCCGTCGCTGCCGAGCCTGAAGGGCTGCGGTGGGCCCCGCAGGTGGCCGAGGAACTCCGTCGCCGCGAGCGCGGCGGTGCAGCGCCGCAGGCGCAGCGCCCCACCCACCATCTTTTTCATCTTTTGCTTTTTCTTCCCGGCTACCTTCTCCCCGCTGCTCCGTGTGGCGCGGGAGGCCAAGAGAGGAGGCAACCAACGGCCGCGACAACCCGCGGAGGAAGAAGAAGACGGGGTGGAAGGCTAAGCAGCAAAAGGCGGGAAACCCGCCACACAGCGCTGTGTGGCGGGCGTGGGCCGCGGTCGCAACAGTTGCGTGGCGACCACCGCCACCGCCGCCACAACGATTGGCAGAGTAACACGCGCAGCAGCAGCAGCAGCAGGAAAAGAGGAGGAGGAGGAGGAGGGCCACAGTGGCAGGGCGTGTGTGGGGGTGAGCGGGAGAGCGGGCGTCAGCAAAGGCAGCTTGACACAAGCGTTGAAAAGTGCTGAAACTGTTTTGTAAACAAGTTGTTGTTGTTCTTGCTCACTGCCTCACATGCGCTTGAGCCCAACAGCGCAAACGCCGCCCGCACTTCCGCGTCCTTGCCAGCCGCGAGGGCTATCCCCGCAAACTCCCCCGCCAGCTGCAGAAAGCAGTCCCCGTCCAGCGCAATCAGTGTTCGCAGCAGCGCCTCCACCTTCGAGGCGGAGCACTTCCTCGACACAACGACGTCAAGCGCCAGCCGCAGCAGGCGTGGGAAGAGGCTCGGGTCGGCGCGCAGCAACGAGCCCCGAACGCGTTCCCGGTGCTCCGCGCAGTCGCCCTCGGCGGAACACAACGTGCTGGTGAATGCACCGAGCGCCTCCGCGCTGAGTGACGCAAGGGCGGCGGAGCTGGCGACGTGATGACCGAGTGAAAACTCCAGCGTGTGGATGACGTGGAGCAGCTCCCCAACGGGGAGCTCGCAGAAAAACCACAAGTGCAGCTCTCTGAGAAGCTCCTCCGCGAGCATGAGGTGGGCCCGGGCAAGCTTCTCGTGGTGGCAGAAGCGGGGGCGGTCCACCAGCGCCATGGCCTGCCACAGCGCCGTCAAGCAGGCCACCAACGCCTTGTCCTCGTAGAGCCGCAAGACGCCCAGGTTGCAGTACCCCCCTGTGAGAATATTGCGTCCCGTGTGAAGCAGGATGCGCAAACACTTGATCCCCCACGCCTCGAGGCAGGCGTCCCCGGAGACTAGCGCCTTGCGCAGCAAGGGAGCGGCCGTGCTTAGCGCGTCACTGACGGCGCGGAAAAGATGATACCCCTCCACCCCGTTGGCACCAAAGTTGATGCGACGAAAGCGGTTCTCGGTGATTTCATTAATCAAACGCAGCAACTGCACGCCGCACACCGTCCCCGCCTGGCTCTGAAGCTGCTGCGTCAGGAGGAAAAGGCAGGGGGAGAACTGGCGCAGCAGCAACTTGTACTCTTTCTGCCCAACGCACGAGCGGAACACGCCGCGCCACAAACAAATGACACGCGTAAAGGACTCTGAGTGGCCGTCGGCAGGCATCGCCCCTGGCCGCAGGCACATGCCAAGCTCCTCATGCAACGGTCGCACGAAATCCTCCCAGGAAGACTCCGCCGTACACCCAAGAAAGTGCACCTGCGCCTTGATACGTGAGAGGTGGTACTGGAGTCGACAAAACACGGCAGCCTCCTCGGCCGTCCTCATCGCGCCAGCCTCAAGCACGGGTCGATTGCCGTGGAATTGTGGCAGCGTCCGCAACACCACCGCTGTGGAGGGGGATTGCGCCATCTCACTCAGGAGTTGCATGGCCTCAAACACAATAGGGCCACTGCAAAAGCAAACGCAGCTCATGACTTCATCCACCACCAGACCTAAAAGCAAAGTAGCAGGTGTTTCCGAAGTTTTCAGAGAGAACGCATGCCGCAACGATTCCCGCAGTTTATTTGATTCATCCATCCTATCAAGCAGCAGGATATGCCACGCAGCACGCAGGAATGCGAGGAGGGAACCGTGCAAGTGACGACCCGCTGCCGATGGCAGGGAGCGGGCAGAGGAAACCTGGCAGCTTTGCCTCACAACCCTCAAACACGCAACCAGTACACTGGAGTCCAAAGCACGCGCGTTGCGGCTAAAACGGTACGAGCTCAACCATGAACTGGCAAGGGTAACGATGCACGCCAGTCGCTCACACACACACGACAACTGCGGTGATGCGTGGGCCTCGGCCATTTTCAGTGCCTCCAACAGGGAGCATATTTCCTGAAGGAGATACTGCTCTGCCGCCTCGCCGCACAAACGCAACAGTTGAGAGACAAATTCAAACTCCATCGAAATGGCTTCCGCGTCAGCGTCCAAGATGTAATCCCCAAATGCGGGTGCCTCTCCATCAGTGCCAAACCGCTCCGCCTGCTCCTGGTTAGACATCATGTAGGCGAGGCACACCTCCGGCGCGAGCAGCTCGAACAAAGTGCAGCCGTCCTTGCAGTAAAACTGGGACCCTACCAGCTTGGCCCAAATGGACGTCAAGGAAAGAAACGCCTGCCGTGCGTGACGCCAGTTTTGGAAGCACAACTTTGTAAACTCGGCGAGGGCCCGCACCCACCGCTCGTAACACGGTGACCTTCGCAGCTCGTCAATCGTGAAGTTCGGCTTGATGCGGTTCAGCAACCTACAAAACTCCCGCAGCACCGCGGCCACCTCCAGGTGCGAGCGCGACTCCATGATGGACAAGGTGGCGGCGAGGATGGTGTTCATCCACTCCGTCTGTTGCTGGCGGGAGGCGTAGAGGGACGCACTCAGCGAGACAAGCGGCGTGAGGGCCTCGAGGACGTCGCAAAGGAACTTTGCGTCCGTCGTCGGGGCGGCGTAGACGTCGAAGAGCCGAGTCAGCAAACTCTGGTCCACGAGGTCGGCCGCCCACTCCAGGGGGAACTCAAACGTCATGACATCCTCCATCGGCTCATCGCAGGAACAGGTGAAGTCAAAGAGGAGAATTCGCCTCACCAGGGCCACCACGCCGCAAACAGCTTTCCACTGCGTGCGCTGCAGCCGCCGCAGGCAGTGCGAGGCGGCACGAAACATCGCAAGCAAACACCCATCGCGGAAGCACGTGCCCGTGCGCTTGTGACGGATCAGGCCGCGCCCCGTTCCATCCACGCGTTCCGTTTCGTCGATGAAGGCGACAAGAATGCCACACGCGAGGGCAACGCGCCCCTCCGAGAAGTCCGACCCCTCCAGCGTCAACGCGGCTGTGACGCGCTGGGGAAAGCTCTGCAGCTCCGGCGCGTCACAGAAGCCCTGCTTCACCACAGCGCACAGGAGCCGGGTGAGTACCTCCACGCTGGAGGCGGTTAGCGCCTCGTGCCGCCGCACAATCAACCAACTCAGGAAGGACTCAAGAGAGACGAGGTCGGCTGTGACAAACTTGGCGCCCACCAGCTGCCGCAGCGTCTGGGCGACAAAAAAGATGGCGTACGCCGAGGTGGATTCCTGCAGCACGGTTTGCATCAACGGCAGCCCCATCGCGGCGGCCACTTCGCCCCAGCCCAGCTCCGTGACAAGCTGCAGCGCTGCCTTGTCTCCCGCGTACAGGCGCGACGCGAACCCCTCCACGCCCTCAAGATCGCTGAGTCCGTTGCTGCACATAATCCCCTTTTCATGCACGCAGAAAGGGAGCTGCGCGCGGTGGCAGCAAAAAAAAGGGGGAAAAACAGTAACAGCAAGAGCAGATGCTTGAGAAATCCAAAAGGGAAACGAGGATGGAGGGCCAGAGACACACGCATACAAAGAGAGGGAAAGAGAGCGACAGGGCAACACGTCGGGAGAGGAGATAAAGCAGCGCCATGCACACGCAGAAACAAAAATAAATAAATAAATGGGGACCACGCATTCTCGCTCCCTCGTGGGTCTACGCACAACTGCCATTGTCGCGTCCATGATAAGCGGAGGGGGGGAGGGGGAGCAACAAGAACTAAAAAGCAACTACAAGAAGAAGAACAGCAGCAGCAGCAACAACAAGAGCGCAAGAACTGCCCAACACAAAAAGATAGAAAAAAAAAACGCACACTCGCCCAAAGTCAAACGGACCGTTCAAGAGGCATTTGCCGGAGACACATGCATGCCGGCGACCTTCCCATTTAGTACTCCAAGCGCAGTGGGTTGTCCTCGCTCGCTCGCTGAGCCGCAGGCACATGGTAGCCTCTAGAGATTACCTCCCTCCCATATGGTGTCTGGTGCAATCCCGCCTCCAACAAGGCAAGTTGCAGACGAACCCGTGGGTCGCGCATGACATCCTCCACGGTGTACCCGCGCAGCTTGCATTGCGCAGCCTCCGCGAAGGAAACGAATGGGACCTCCTGCTGGCTGGAGGTGGTGGGCTGAAGAACTCTTTCGGCGTCACACGTCACCCCAAGGCGCCGCTCGACACCCTTGAAAAAGGCCTCCAGTGTTCTTTGGTGCGCCCTATTCAACTCATCTATCTCTTCTTGTTGTTTCCGGCGTAGGCGACGCTTTTCCGCGTATTCCTTTTTCCGCTCCTCCACGCGTTTGGCGTTGTGCTCCTGCTGAATTGCCTTCTGCAGTGCCGCCTCCTCCGCAATCGCCTGCTGGACAGCACGCTCCTTCTCCTGCAGCTCCCGCTGTTGTTGCTGGTACACCCGCAACCGGCCCAGACGCTCTTGAAACTCCGCTTCCCGAGCACGAAGTACCTGCTGCTGCTTTTCCTCCTCCTCCATCCGTGTCGCCTCTTCTTCCGCGCGGCGCAATGCGTCCTTCGCCTCACGGGCCCCGCGAAGCCGCTCAAGCTCCTGCTGCGTCTTCGCTTGGCGTTCCTCACGCATTCTCGCCTCGTCCTTCATGGAGTTGCGCATCTGCACAATCTCATCCTCAGCCGTCATGGCCTTCTTAAATGACTCGAGCAGCTCCGTGGTCTTTTTATTGTACTGAAGTGTGACGGAGCGCACGTAGACGCGGTCTCGCTTCTGCCGCAGCACCTCATCCACGGCCCGTCGCGCCGCTGCCTTGGAAAAACGCGGAACGGCCCGCCGGACGCGGTCGCAAAGCTCGTCGGAGATGGCAGCTGCGGTGGCGCCGGATGCCATTTCGCCGTCGTATGTTTTTAGTAGCAGTGCAACCGTGCGCAGCTCGGCTGGGGTAAGCGTGGGGTCGCCCTTCTGCCCTCTGCCCGCCGCTGCTGCTGTCGCCGCCTGGGAGACGGCGTCTGTCCCCGCCGTCTGCAGCGCACTTCGGTACGTCTCCACCAGCGCGGCGTGTAGCGTCCCATCGCTCAACCCGCAGAGTCCTTCAAAGGTCTCCATCCTTGCCTGCACCAAACTCTGAAGCGCCTCCATTGCGGCGTCCTGGCCGCCTTCATTGCTCGCGTCCTCGGAGAGGATTTTTTCCGCCTCCACGGCTGTCGCCTCCTTCTTCTTCAGAAGCTCCTTGCGTAGCCCGGAGAGTCTTTTTGCAAGCGCCTCCAGCGTCTGCCGCGACGGCTCTTCTGCCTGTCGATGCAGCCCCTGCAGCTCCTTTCGCACGGACATGACACTTTCACTCAGGGAGTTCAAGAGTCGCATGGTTTCCGCCTCCTGCGCCGCCAATTCGCTCCTGAGCGACTCTGGCAGCAGGTGCGTGCAGGAGGCATACGCTTTGCCCAGGTCCAGCTCGCAGGAGACGGATTCCCGCTGGAGGGAGGCACACTCCGCAAGCCAGCGTCCCCCGCGCTTCACCGTTTCCGCAGTTTTCTTATGCGCGTCAATTTTGGAGTGGAGGCGATGCAGCGTCTCACTGTTTTGCCGCGCCCGCGCCCGCCACTCCTTGAGCGCCGCCTCCTGCTCCTCGACGGAGGTGGCAATGATGTGCGCTCGGTGGCGCAGCGCCGCCGAGGAGCTCGGTGGCGGCATCAGGCTGCACTACACACGGGGGCGAGAAGCAGAGGAAAAGGAGGGGGCACGGGAGACGACAGCGGCATACGTGGTGAGGCCAATGCAGGGGGCCCGGAACTGATACCCATGCATGGGCCAAAGCGGAGGGACAAAAAAAAAAAAGAGGCTGCGGCGGCTGCGGGGGAATTTACGCGAGGGAGTAAAAGAGTTCATGTACACACACACACACACACATCCTCCTCGAAACAACGCACATCCTCCTCGAAACAACGCACATGCCAAACGTACAGGGAGCTCTCGCGAGGAAAGGCTGTAAGGTACAGGAATGTATATATATATATATATATATATATATATTGAGCGAGGTAACGGGGGGAGGAACAGGAGCCGTAACGACTCGAGGGAAGAAGGAAAAAAGAAACAAACCATCAAACACAGCCAAATAATAACAAGCACCACACAGTACAACAGAAAAAGTAACAAAGCTCCATCGGAAATTATTACGTCCCGTGGAGAATTAGCGCGGAGCGGAGGTGCAGAGCGGCAGAGAGACCCACCCACTCACGCCCACCCCACCACGAAAGAGGCAAGAGGAACATTGCGACGCGACTACTTCGTTTTTGTTGTGCAGGGCTGCGTGAGAACAAGTTTTCCTTCCTGAGTTAGCTGGCAGTCCGCCCTGCCCGCAAGCAACTCCCTGCTTTCGCCAGATATACTCACTGGCAGCATCCTACGTATCTTTTCACGCGCCTCGCTTGTGCAGCAGCAGAGGTTGCGGATGCAGAACTCGGCCCACTCCACCATGCCAGGGTTCTCCTCATCGACGCGGGTGCTGGTGAGAATGGCCGAGAGGAGCGCGGGGGTGCCCACGATGGCGGAGCACGCCTCGCGGTTATCGAGGGTGAGGTTCGCCATCAAGCGGACGTGTTCGGTTCGGTAGCCCTCCTGGAAGAAGGCAATTTCGTGCTCGCACGGAATACTCAGGGCGTCCGCCACGTAGGCCAGGACGTCACACTCCAACAAATACATTTGCAGGGCCTTGACCAGCCGGGGGTGGCAGACCAAAATGAGGCAGAGCAGCTCCACGGAGGAGTGGGACAAGTGGGCCCCCGTCTCCAACCACGCCTCCGACCCGTCGCACACGTCCTCCACGCTGCTGTTGCGTGGAATACTGTCAGAGGCCGTACCCTCTGCGGGGGTGCTACCCGCCGCGGCGGCGGCGGCATCGTCATTCCCGACGGGGCACCTGGACGAACGATGCCTCCGTGTCCGGCGCAATATGTGCGGCGCAACGTGCAGCGCAAGGTCAGCCATCCGCCGCAGCACGCGCTGTAGGTGCAGCATCTCCTCCCCCTCCTCGCGCTTGGCTTGAAACGCCGTTTGGTCGACAGCCTGCTCCAGCTTAAACTTCAGGGCGTAATTGCGCAGCTCGGCGTCCGTCTCAGACAACATCAACAGCGAATCTACCTTGGCGCTTATCAGCCGAAGCACCTCGGCGTCGGCCTCCTCGATGGAGGCGTCGCGGCAAGACATTTCCTTCCTCTTGTGCCCCAGCGCGTCGGGAAGAAAGACACTGAGACGTAGAGACAGAAAGAGAGAGGCAGAAGTAAAAAAAAAAAAGCAGTTAAAACAACAGTGCAGGGGAATACAAAAACCATAAAGAACACACACAAATTGTGCGTATGCACACGCACATATATACTTCCACAGAAGGGCATTTCATTTCCGGCGTTTGAAATACCACAACCCTCTCACACACAACGCCACTATCTGCTGTAGCGGCATTATTCAGGGCCGCGCCCCGCAGGACGTGACAGTCATGTGAGCCAAAGAGAAGGACACACACCAAGAAAAAAAAAAAACCGAAGCCGCGAACCCAACGCAACTACTTCGTACGGAGGACACTGTTTCTCTCCAAACATCGTGCCAAAGCCTTGACACAGCGTTGCAATGGCATGTGCCTCCTTTCCGCGAGGCTCGAGATGCCCACGCGACCTATGCCCCCTTCTCTCTTGTAGCTTGCGCCTGCTGTGGGCCAGCAATCCCTGCCCCTTGCGGGGCACTGACACCCGAGTGCCGCACTGCCACCTCCAACGCATCCTTGCAAACGACAGCATCGGCCCCACAGAGAAGCGCCTCTGCTTCCGTGGCCAACTTTATAGTGCGCGGAAAGGAAAACACCCAGACACACGACTGCCCCCGCGGAACTCACAAGCAGAACACAGGAGAAGCTGTCCAGCAACGCTGGCAGTAAAGCGCAACTTCACTACATCCATCCTTGAGGCGGCCGATGCATCGTCCCGCGATAGCGCTGCGACGCCGCCGGTTGTGGCCGCATCGGCAACGCTTAGCAGAGCGCACTGCCGCTTAGAAATGAGGGCCACGCGACCGTTTCCGGCTGGCGAGAAGCGCAGCGCCAACCTTTGCGTCAAGCCCCCATCCATATCGCGCGCCGGCGCACCCGCCCTCACAACGGACAGTGGTGAAGCCGGAAGCCTGAAAGAGCCGCACCGTGCCGTACTTCAAGGCAAGCAAAAGTGGATACTGGTCCCCCGCTGTAGGCAAAGCAATACTGCACACAAACTCTGGCCCGCACCTCAAACGTTTGAAGCAGGCAGTTTCCCCGGGAAACCAACATTGTCCATCCATGCTCCCTTATTCTCGAAGGGCACGCAACAAAAACTTCACGGCACACATGAAAATGAGGCGAACCCCACGGCACAGCAAGGGGCAGATGCTCCAGAAGCGTCTTGGCGTCCACGCGTTTGCACGGATCCACGGAAACAGCCACTGAGAGCAGGGAACAAGCGTCCAAATAGGACATCAAAACACACTGTACAGCCCCATCATAGAAGCCTGTAGACGGAAAAAAAAAAAAGAATTCCCGTCAGGGACGGGGTGAGCAGTTACCACGTCATCGGTGCATGTCAACGGGCCTGTGTCCAGCACCAAGACGCAGGCAGAGGCTGTGTCGGGTTGAAAAAAAAAGCAGTAACCCTTCGAGGAATGGCGTCCTTAGACTCGTATTGCAGCCTGGGAGTCGTACCGTCGTGCGCCATCTGCACGCTGCGGCTGCCATGGAAGAGGCACCTCCGCCGCCCAAATTGCAGTTGTATAAGTGCAGCAAACGGCACAACTCCTCCGTGCCCGCGTCGTGAACGAGGGCGGCGGCACCCGGAGTTGACTCGGGGCTGCCAAAGACAACGACCTGCAAGGCCTTCTGCAAACTCCCTGGACGTGCAGCAACCAGATCACACCTCTCGAGCAACGACCAAGTCGAGAACGAATTCGGGATGGACGTGGCGGCATCCTGGCCCAGTTTCTCAACGTCGTGAAAGCAATGACCCAAGAAAGAGCGACACAAAAGAGGCGGCCTCAATCAGCTGCTATCCCACCCGAACCTTAAATAGAAGCACCTTCAGAGGAGAGAGAAAGGTCGCATGCATCAGGGGCCGTGGGTTGTCAGCCGACACCAAAGCTAAGCAACACGTCAAGAAAAAAAAAATTGGCTGCTGGCGTCTCCGACGCATCGATGACGCCTTTTCTGCCCCTTAAAGGGGATGCGGCGAAGAGCAGCAGAGGTCAGGCATCAACGCTTTTGCAAGGTGGGACGAGGCACGGCGACGGGCAACATGGACACGCGGGAATCCAATGCGTTTGGACAGGCCGACCCCTTTGAAAACGAGGTCCCCCTCCCCTCCGCTCCCCGTTGAAAAATTCCCCACTGCCAGCCAACCGCCAAACCTCACTGGAAGCCCACCACCCTGCCACAAGCTACCGGCCCTCCCTCTCTCTCTTTCCGCCACGGAAGAGGAGGCGGAAACACAAACAATTTAAATGAAATTCCCTCCTACAATAATTTGACCCATTCCGGATTGAATACCTATCTTTTGCTCCCTCCGTGGGGCGGGCTGGGAGTATTATTGTGCGCGGTTCCCTCAATACGATGCGTGAACTCTCTCTCCTCGCCGTGGGCACATGGGTGGCGTAACGGGCCTCGCCTCACGCATCCCACGTGGGATGCGTCCCAACGTCACACCGCGATGCACAGACGCCCGCACACGCAAGAAGAGGGAGAGTGCAGCACGAGAACAAATTCAATAAACGTGCAGAATGACAGATAATAATCACAGTCATAAAAGGACCAAACATTCAACTACCCACAGCATACCACACAATCACAGCCCAAACTGAAAAGACGGGAGGTATGAACGCCCCCTCACACCCATCACAGCGGTGGCGTATTTCCCTGCACTGCATGCCTCGTGAGTGGGCCATGCCAATTCCTCGCCTCCATGAAGCTTATAGAATTATTTAGATCGATTATTGAAGCGTGACGCAACACCTGGAGTTGAGGACGAGGATGGTATGGAAGGGGCATCCTTCACCTCCTGCAGTTTCACTCCTGACGGGTTCGCCTCTAGAAGAGCGCGACCCGGCCCATCAACGTAGTACTTTGGGTTCGGGCATGACGGGACCTCGCAGTAGATGGGAAGCGTAGCCACCCAGTCACCCGAGGCGCGAAACTTATGCCCACAGGGGCACTGCCACTCCCGCTCTTCAAAGAGTTTACTTGTCATCTGCAGTGCCTGGTTAAAGGCGTCCTTGAGTGTGGGCGGGGCTCCAGACGAGGTGGTGAGGGCATTGCCTGCCTTTTGTCCCGCCTGACGCGAGACGAACGTCTTGATTTTGCCAAGCATTTCTTTTTTTTTCCCTTCACGTGGGGGCACACCTACCAGAGAAGCAGAAAGACGCAATAGAAGAGGCAGCGACGGCGGCAGCAGCAGCAGCAGCGGCAGCAATGAGGGCAGCAGCGTACCGAGGCAGCGCCCGGGCCTTACACACGGCGCGCCTCATCAGCAGGAAGCACGCGGGGAAAGGCGGGGGGTGGAGCCAAACCGCGTCACCTCGCGGCTCCACCCTTGCCAGCTGAGGGGAAGAAAAAGTCATAACTCCACTTGGCCCGTGCCCAAGCACGCTGCGCGCTCACGACAAGAACGGACCTGAACGGCACACGCGTCCGCCCCACCTCTGACCGCCTGGCAGCCTCCAGCTCCTTCACGTCAATTGCATACGGGTGACGCTGGCATCGACAGCACCGTCGGAACATCACGCACAAAATACCACGCCACACCCCAGCCACGCTTGTGCCTTCTCCCAGCAACTATGTTCCTTCCCACCGCCACCACCGCCAGCAGCAGCGGCAGCAGCAATTGCGGCAACAAACCGCCAAGAAAAACAAAGAGCAACACCAAGAAGAACACAAACGAGATCGTAAGAGAAATACCAAAATGAGAATTCGTAATCGTCGCGGAGGGCGCCACAGCTCACATAAATCCAAAACAAAGCAGCATACCAAAAAAAAAAAAAAAGGAAGGGAACAATAGGGGAAAATGCCCTCACAAAGAAGCATATGAAAAAAAATTATTAAATTTATTTATAAGAGCTGGGGCAATTAGCAATGACACACGTCGAATGCGGTGCAAAGCAGCCAGCCACAGGCTTCGGTCGCTGATCCCCGTGACCTCAGGAAGGAAATCTGGTCCAAAGGGGTAACAACTTCCCTGCAACAGCGCAGCGACTTCACACCGGCCTCACATGTCGCTGGAAAACAAACACAAACACGTCCAACTTGTTATACCAGACGAGAGACCCGTCACATTCACGGAAAGCACAAGTCTCCGACAATGTCTACCACATACATACACACACACTGTAAAGTCACAGCAGCATCACGCAACTGCACGCTAACCTCGCCTTTTAGCAGCCCCCAAAGAAAGGCGAACACACGTAACGGACAACGAAAAAAAAAAACCCTTCAACTCCATTGGGTATGTAATTACCCCTCCAAACTCATTTTCATCCCCAGAACAAAACATTAATAGTTCATGATGAGATACCCGGACCGCAATAAACGCGGAACACAGCGATGGGATAGACGGCGGTTTCTAGTGCGCCGTGGAAAACGGGGGTGGGGACCCTGGCATGGAAATAACACACGCGCCGCACCACGCAGGGAGGAGTGCCACATTTCTGCGACACTCGCCCCCCGCCAAAAAAGAAAAAAAAAAAACGGGTATTCACCTGCAACGAGTGGCACGGAATAACAGAAGAAGAAAAAACAATGCTATTGGTCCTAATTTAAACAGAGAGTGCTAGACTGCTTTTCCGCAGAGAAGGGCG